TCCCGCCGTGGGTTTGTTTATGCGGATTTAGCTCAGTTGGGAGAGCGTCAGACTGAAGTCAACTTCAGTCCAGTTAATCTGAAGGTCCTGTGTTCGATCCACAGAATTCGCATTTTTTTTTGCATCTTAATTTGATACTATTCTAAGTTGTATTCAAAATTTATGGCATACTACACTTTAAAAATTAATGATATTAAGTTATATGGATTAAGTTATGGAAAGTTATTAAAAGGTCAAGTAGTATTCGTCAGGTTCATTATCATACGGATCGTTCTTGATAGAATTGATATAATCATCATCCTCCAAAAAGTTCATGAAGTCGCTTTGGGACTTTTGATATTTTTCAATACTTAAAAATACGGCATTCTCCACAAGGCTGAGATTAGATATGAAGTTAGTGGAGCATTCCCTATCCAAATTATCCTGTAATGATTTTCTTATTTTATTTCTTTCGAATTTTTCGAAATCCAACGATTTCCGATTATTTATAGGCAAGTAATTTACCGATTGATACTTTTCGCCATCATCTATCAACCTGATGAAGTCATTTATGTTTGTTAAATTTGTTGTTCTGTGAAGCTTTCTTGATTGTAAATCTTCATCACTAAATTCGTCATCTATTAGTTCAAGATGTATTGGGGAAGCAAATAATGAGTCACTGTTATCAGTTATTGTTTCAGGCGAAACGAATTCAGGGCTTTCGATCGAACTTTCGTCAATTATGTTGTTGTTCGAATCAGGGAAAATATTTATCATTGGGGTGGAAGCAACGGAGCCGGTAAACATCGAGGAACGCTTGCCCTTGTTTAAATTCGGAGCACTAGATCTTGTTTTCAAGGTCCTGCCTTCTGCAGTGTTATGTAAGTTTCGGCGACTTTTAAGTCTAGGTATAACACTTATATTTTCCTTATCTTCTATCGAGATTGATCCTTGACGTTGCTTTGAAACGTTAGAGCTATAAGAATTTTGGTCAACTGGTTCATGAAACTTCTGATTCAAGTTTATGGATGATACTGACAGAGATAATGGTCTTGGTTTATTTTTTTGCATATTTGATGGTTCTGATATTAACTTCGAATGTAAATCATTCGAGGAAGATTTTCTTGATCTTAATGAGCTTAGAAAGCCCATTTTAGATTTTCTTTGTTCATTCAAATTAGATATGCTCTGACTTCTAAGCATTTTGTTATAATGACAGTAGAAAATTGGCTAAAAAAAACAATTAAAGATAAAATATTTGTGAATTACAAAAAGTAGAGAAGCATCTTTTGTTTATAGTCGCGAATTGCCAAAAAAATAAATAAGCTCCTTCTCTACACGCAATGCGCGTAGTACTATATACAAGTCTAAATAAATTCCAAGACTATACATGAACCCAGAATTTATACTTATTAGAATCATCAAGGTGGATATTGTTATCATAAGTCATTTGCGTACCGTTTAATTTAGATAAATAGTCGGATATACATTGGAGATTGTCCGAACCTGTAGATGGAATTAAAGAGCTTGCAAAGGGAGTTGTGCCATTGAATCTATGTAAATGGGTAACACTCTTAGATCTCCATAATTCCTTACGTAACGGGTTACCATTTTTATCTCTTCCGGCTAAAGACTTAGAAATATATCTAGTCAAAGGCTGTCTAATAATGGCTTCTACTCCTTCAGGTAGATATATGACCAAAGGCTCGTTGTCAATTTTTTTTCCAGTAGGAGTAATATTTATATGACCCAAGTTTTTGATAACAAGGTCGATGCTTCCGTAAAACGGAGGTATTATAAACTTTTGGAGTCTATCAAGTGACTTCTTGTCAACAACGAAGACTTTTTCCAATGCTTTGTTGTTTTCTATGTTTTGTAATATGGAAATGGCTTTATCCATGCTTTTGAATACGTGTAATTTATGGTTGATACAATTTTTGATTTGATAAACAGCATTTTGTGGAGTACAAAGATAAAATAAACCTCCCATAGTAACTAACTGTCCGTTTCTAACGGATTCGTAATGCGAATCATACATTCCTCTTTTATGCACTTTGACTCCTTTAGATAGGATTTTGATTATCGAAGGAGTGAGGTATTCATATATACCATGCGTTTGATTCGAAGAAAAACCAGGAACATCAACTATTGTCTTGCCGTTTATGTCGTACACAATGTGTCCTCGAGTAAAACCAGGCATATATGATGTTCCTGGGCCATTGGCCATTTTGAAATTCTGTTCATTCTTTCTTTTTGACTTAATTAACTGGTGTCTATTGATAGCTTTGGAGTTGATCATTCTATCTTGCTGCTTCTCTAGTTTAGTTTGTTCTTTAGAATTGAGGTAATTTGGTTTCATGTTTTCTATTGTGTATAGTAAGGATTTTATCACCGTTGATTTTCCACTGTTGACACCTCCTACCATATAACTATTATTTGGCAACGCCTTTATAATATCCTTCATATTCCAGTCTATCAAACCACTAGTTACGTGTATATTTGCAGGGTCAGCCCCATGTGTTCTTGACAAGTAGTCTTTAAAAAAGGTGGCTCCATATTTGTTACTAAGTTGAGCCGATGGAAACAATAAGTCACATTTGGTAATCAAGAAAGTAACTTGAGATGGATTGCGATACTTAAATATCAGTCTATTGAGGGAAAATGGGAAATCAACTGCATTAACAACATAGACTATATTTCCATCTGGAGGAATAGTGGACATTATTTTATCTATTGATTCCACTGGCAATTCATCCCACGAAAAATTCGATTTATACATAGCATCACGACATCTAATACACTGGATCGCACCCTCCTTCTTTTGGTTGGTCGCTATTGCAGTGGTTGCATGTGTTGATTGTTGACGTGTAGCATCGCTTGAATTCAACAATAATTTGCGATCATCAGCCAGCAAACCGTCCATGAGACGATTGAAAGCCTCATCTTCAGGCTTGACAAGCTTCGGTCCCACTGAAGGTGGCTTGTAGAAACCAGGTTTTCGAGGATTTTCATTTTGGAGCTTGATTCCGCATGAGTTACAGGTAGCAAATAAATTGTAGATCAATGAGACTTGCATGCGGTAAGGCGAAGTGAAAAGGGTCCTGAAAGTGTCTGTACGAAACAAACGGTACTTTACGACAGGACTGACACGACCGAATATCATTCTGGGCTTGTGTTGACTTATTAGCACTATGAAAACTCTTGACTGCTGGATAGCTTGATCATATACATTTAAGCGCTTTAGTTAAGTGCTCATCTCCAGAATCTCAAATTATCACGTGGAACATAAGATATAGAGAAAATTAAACCTCCATGCACCAATATATATACACCAGATAACTGCATAACCGTTACGTTGCCAACAGCATCCTCCGTGCACTGGAAGCATGAGCTACATTCTAGAAGTCTGTCAGTTTCCGCGGATATTCTAATATAAGCAGACTAATAATTTCAGTTCACAATAGGTGACCACCAAAGGATAACAAAGGAGATGCAGCTTCAACAACTACTCGACAAAGAATTTAATTTCATACCACTCAATTCTCCTAGTTCGTCTAGATCTTCTCCTACATAGGCATATGCCACACCCCAACCGCGATTGTCCAACAATTGAATAAGCCTACGTGTAAACATATTTTTTCAGCTGATGTACAATAGGTTTTTCCTGCCATACAGAGACAAGGTCCATCTCAATAATCAATGAAAAAGGAACGCACGCATGTATGTAAAAGGAGCAATTATGCAATTAGAATGCAATATGTAATAATGTTGGGACTAGACGTATTGGCGTGCATGAGAGAATTTCGCATGTGCGTGTGATGCACCAAAGATCATTTCGGCGAAACTTGCCGTGTTCAAAAAGGAGTAATAGTTTCTGAGGGACATTTTCTCGATAGAATATGCGATTCGTACTTCTCGGCATTTTGTATGTAATTATGGTTAGGTACATATGTACAGATTCGGCAAGAGCTTTGCGCAGAGCTTTTGAAATATCTCCGGGCACTCCGTATTCAGCATTTATTGCTGTACCTATAATCGTACACATCATAGTACTGTCATGATATACTTATGTGTACTTCTATTGTTTTTGGTAAGATGTACGTGAAATATGGCATATCTGAACGTTTGACTGCAAAGTCCAGCCCGGGCCACTTTGGGTATTTGGGTTGCACATGGGGCGTGCTGAGTATCTAGTTTGGTGGGAAGATGCATTTTTGTTTGTTATTAAATATGCTTGTACGCGTCGTATATAGGGGTGCAAATTTTCATGCTGGTTGTCCGAGTGCGACAACACTGAATAGTGCGTAGAAGACGCATTTGCCACGCAGCACATCTTTGTAACCCGTCATGCTTAATGTGAGGCGCTAAAGTGAATCGACGGGTATTAATGCCTGATTATACGCTTAGGTACAATTTAAGCTTTTTGGCCCCCTTTAAAGTAGTGCGTATAATTATTGTGCGGTCGAGGTTAACAGCTATTTATGGCGTCAGCTAGTTGGCAAACCCCAACCTATTGTGCGGGTTGGTCCATAAATATGTTTTGAGGACACGTCTGGACCTATTTTCTACACATATACGGGGTCAAATAGTCTGAGTCACGCTAAAGTTTGCCAGTAAAAGAACGAGGAGGGGTGGTGGTGGTTCGCTGTAAGGTTAAGGTTTCGTATGATGGCGATTCTTGGATATAGTTTAGGTCCACATATTATGTACATATGTGTGTTGTCTATGTTGTCTGTGTTACTTAGTTTGTCCCGGTACTGAAGTTAGAATCAGTCAGCACGACGGTTATTCACGGTGCAAGCTACGAAGTTGAGACGGAGTTTTTGTATTACGGCCGTCCGCCGTGTAATCGAGCTTTTGACTAGTAAAGAGAAGCACTCGATGCATACTCCATACGGTAGGTGGAAGGCTGCGGCACCTACGCGGCGGTGTGATTGCAGTGGCCTGCCGCATCTGCAATCACTTGCATCCCGCGCAACACATTAGCGTCAATGATTGGTGCACGCGATTGCTATGCAGAATCTCGCATCAACGAAGTCACCCCCACGAAGCCCCAACAAAATACAAGTTAAAGTGTGACTCGATTCTTTTCTATTCTCCTTATACCAATGCCTGCTACTATAGACCATTTCATTTGGTCATGTATCTATCTTCATCATCCACACCCCCCTGAAGCTTATTATCATGCGCTTTGCCACTTCACATAAGGTTTGCACGTATGTTCTATGTCGTCATCGTATTCGGTTTTGTAGATCCTCCCCTCCATATGATATGCGCCTTCTCGCAGATCATTAGGTTTGAACCATGTAAACATACCTACAAGAAGACATACATATGCATCCCGGTAACAACTGCATATAATGCACAGTCAATAGTAATCGTTAAATTAGGTATTTTTAGTTGCCTTGTCATACTAGTTATCTGTGAGAGAATAGAAATGAAATTTTTCCCATACATATTGCTTTTATTACCAATATTTGCTAAGTAAGTAGATTTATTGGTAGAGGAGATACACGAAACACATCAAAAAACACATACCAGCAAAATGAAGCGAGCATGTGAATTTGACGATGTGGAAAGCGGTAGATATCGAGAAGGTGCCATACAGACTTGGGTAGCGGTGGGCGAGTGTTCGCTCGCACTAGGGTTGATTATGGCGGCTAAGCAAAGTTTCGAAAATGCCATGAAACACGATCCCCTGAACAGCCGGGCGCTAGTGGGATTCGCTTCCTCATTGAGAATGGAGGACGGAAAGACGAAGAATAGACAGCAGATCAAAAAAGGATCGGGGAGTCGAGAGGCGGCTGATAGGTTGACCATGGCATTAGAAAAGTACCCACACGTCACTCATACAGCAGAGGTGATGCGGGAGTTGGGAGAATGTTATTTAGCAATGGGGATGGTAGAACAAGCACATCTGGCGGTACAGCGAGGCCTCCAGGCTGAAGAAACCCACATTGGATTGTGGTTGCTTAATGGACAAGTTTTGCATCAGGCAGGCCATGGACCGCAAGCGATAGATGGGTTGAGACGGTGCTTAAGTCTCTTACCTCGGTCGTTGGAAAAATGCTCTCGGGATGATATCAATATTGCCAGAATGGCACACACGGAGTTGGCGACTATTGCAACAATCGATGGTAATATCGAAGGTGCTGTTGCTGAGTTGGTGACAGCGTTGTCGTTACCGCCACCGCTGTTGGAGAACATAGACGAACATATATCATTGTGGTGTGCGTTAGCCACAGCAAGAGAGCGGGCCAATGATTTAGTGGGGGCCTTACAAACTTGTAAGGAGGCAGAGACAGTGGTAGGTAACTCACCCAGAATCATGTTGATTCATTCCTACTTAATTCTCAGCATGGACGATAGCTATGCACACACGGCTATTGACTTGTTGGAAACGTTTGTCAAATCGGAGGGTGAACATGCGCAGGCAAACGATGAGGGTGATTTTTTGCCTTGGTATCTCATGGGAAAGGCATACTCGAAATTGGATTCGCCTAGAGCGGCATACGATTCATACCAAGTAGCATTCAGACGGGCACCCAAGTCTCCGATACCATGGTTAGCGATTGGTAAATTATATTTGCAGTTGAATCAATTACCAGACACTTTAGCGGCTTATTCGCAAGCATTAAGATTGCAGGTCGACGAAAAATCGCCTGCCACCGCCACTGCATGGGATGGTCTCAGCTGTGTTTATGAGAGGTCAAATGGCCAGTTGATGGATGCAGCAGATGCTTGTAATCGTGCAGCAGCTTGCTTTAGGCTTGCGGGCGATGCTGATAGTGCTCACTTCTTCGAGGATAGAACTAGACAATTGCAAATGGCGGCAAATAGAGAGGGCCCGGTACCTCCATTGCGAGATGCCCCCGATGTTCCAAACTCATTATTACGCGAGCTTGTTGCTATGTCACCTTCCGAAAGAATTGCCTTCGTTCAAGGTGCTGAGATATCACACACCAATCAACCGCCTCTGCAAAATGACAATTCCCCTATTACTCAACAGCAAAGACTGCAAACCCCAACGAATGGCTCTGTGAGAACACCTCAACCACATCCACAGCAGCCCGTAGCACCACAACATTATCAAGTACAACAGCCATATAAACAATTGCATGAGAATTCCCCAAGACAAAATATAGCGCCCCCTCATCAAATGTGGTCCCCAAATCAACAGCCACCTCAACAGAGACAGTATGTTCCTAACATCCCACCTCCTTCTATGGCCAATCCGAATCATTATCCGCATTACTTTTATCAACAACCTCACACAAATGGACTTCCTCCTGGGGCAATCCCTGCTCGTAATCCTCAGATGTTACAAAGATCACCCTTGAACAATCCTCAGATGATTCGCAATGATCTTCCACAGCAAATGGGTCCTAATATGGGCCCAGGTCAACCACCTCCACCACCGCCACCAGGCTACGCATATGGTCAGTATGTACCGATGCAAGGAACCATGCCTTACCCACCTCCAGCAAACAACTGGGGTAAATGAACAAATATATGCAATAGATAATGTTAATCACATGTCATAATAATTTCTTTGACCAGCATAGACGTCTAAAAGTTATAAATCATTATAAATAGTTCATCATCAGTCCATTAAGTGTCAAATATTGCTCACGACAAAAAACAATTAGACAAGTCATTTGATTTGTACCGTTACGCTTAAATTATTATATTATCATATTGTATTAGTATTTAGTTCTAAAAAAATAAATTAATGCTTATTCAATAAACTTGCTACTTGCGACCAATTACCAACGTAAACTTCTTCCTTGTGTAACTCTTCAGCTTCACTTAAATTTTTGATTGGGAAGTTTAGCTTTTTGATCGATTCGATTACTGACCCTTCTTCAATAGCAATACCAATATCACTATCAATTAGCGACAATAAATCAGTCATACTATCGCCTATATAACATGTTTTCCCATATTGTTTAATCAAATTGTTAACTATGTTCAATTTGTCAAGACCAGTTCTAATCGATATTGATGCATTAAAATTACCTGTTGAGATTCCATTCTTAAACTCTAATTCATTAACCATGATTTTTAGATTTTCATTCTCTTTGAAACCGTTCTTAAGGAGCACTGCTTCCATGATTAATTTCGTCCAATTGACACTCAAAATAATCACTGGAATCTTCAGTTCCTGACACTTACTTAAAAAGTCCGTGAAATGAGGTTTGAGTGTAACACGGTTTCCCTGGGCCAGAAATTCTTCTTCTTCAATCCCTTCAAATAACCTCAACCTCTTGATCTCGTTAATAGAGCTCATCTCGACATTTTGCATCCCTGTTTGAAATTTGATTTCTTTTTCGATAGTGTCTCTTTCTCCGTACTTACTAGTAAAGTCGTCGTTATATTCATTGAATGCTTTCATATAAATGTTCGTGAAATGGTCGAACTTTGGTTCGTATTCTTTCTTTTTGTTATAAGCAGCTTGAGCTACGAGTTTGATAGTATCCTCATTGGTTATGGTTTCATCCCAGTCAATTATAAAAAGCTTTGGTGTCGACTTAGGTTTTAAGGCTTTTAACGAACTAGCTAACCCTTTCATTGCTATATACTTCAGTGTTATTTAAGGAAGTTTTGGGGTGATCTAATCCTGAAATACCGGTTCGACTATAGGCTTGCTACATACACGTGATCTGGGACCCTTTTGATCATCGAGCTAAAATGAATGTGTAGAAGATGAACAGGGTGATGAAAGAACCAATTCAATTAGAGTCCATACTGATTTCAGGATACAGACACGATGAGTAAACAAGGAAATAATGACTTACCACCATTGGGTGAATTAGGACACATTGCTAGAGAAACGGCAGATGGAAATGTTGATCCAAAAACTCCTATTAAGGACGCAGAAAACATTATCCATGAAGGATCACAAGGATCAGCGAAATTTGAAAACCAGAAGGCACCAGGAAAATTCGAAGGAGAACACAACAAAGGAAAGTTTGAAGAGGGAAAAAATCCGGATGCAAGTGGAAAGTTTGAGGGCAAATTTGAATCGAAAGACAAAGCAAATTTAGGCAAATTTGAATCTAAGGATAAGGACAGCTTGGGAAAATTTGAATCAGGAGATAAGAAAGACATAGGAAAATTCGAAGGCAAATTCGAATCTAACGAGAAGGACAGATTAGGCAAGTTTGAGGGTAACTTCGAACAGAGATAAAAGGTGTCTGAAACCTCTTAATAGCCATACATTTGAAGCAAAATGCAGATGTAGTCTACGAAACATACTTCCTTGAGGCCAGGAGTATCAGTCAATGTTTAGTGAATATAAAATAATTTGTAGTGGTAACAACTCTTTCTGTAGTTTTTGGCATATGATTATTGCTCGCATATGAAACGATTGAACAAATGGCAAACTTCAAGTTTTTTTTTTGCTTTTCTTCCCACAATATATACAGAATGTCTCCTAATAACTCCAAAAAGGACGAGTCTAAACAAGATACTAAACCACAAGTCACTTCAGAGACCAATTCGCAAACAACCGAAGGAACAACCAGTTCTGAAAATGGTGCTCCTCTGGTTCAACAGCAGCAAACTATCATGGATTTATTTAGAAACGCTTTAAATCCTAATGGCGAATATCCTCAAGTTGATGAATATCTTACAAGTACATTTAGCTATGTTCAAAATGTATTCAACAAGATGCAGACTGCTGAAGACAAGGATGCAACAGCTAAAGAAATTGCTGAGGATTTAACTGATCGGTTTGACAAGTGGATGTCAGAGCAACAGAATAAGAACAAGAACTCAAATAAGCAAGATGATTCGGGAAAAGATGAGAAATCAGACGAGCCTTTAAAGGTAGAAGAAGTAGATTAAATACCATGAGAACATGAGCCCCACAATTATGAGGAATGTATATATCTATATAGCAAGCATTACAATAATTCTAATATGTGCCCATTCCATCATGAGTATAGTATATATATAAGCTGATAAAGAAAGAGAGAATATGATTCGAATATTAGAAATTCCTTCCTACTGTATTATATAATTCTATTGGTTCTGTAAGAAAGATTCGGAGATAAAATGGTTGCAGATAAGAAAAGTGGCTCGTTTGAAGATTTAGAAGATATCAAAATGGGCGATTTGTCCTTATTGGCATTGCACAAGTCCTTGGTTGATACTCCATCAATAAGTAAGAGTGAATTGAAAATCTCTCAACTATTGAAAGATTATTTGGAGAAAGCTGGCCTTACAGTTGAATTACAGATGGTAGGCTCAGGCATGCAGAGGTATAATGTATATGCATATATCGGGAAAACCAGAGACACTAAAGTCTTAGTTACATCACATATTGACACTGTACCACCTTTCTTTCCGTATCGAGTAGAGGGCAGTAAGATATATGGTAGAGGATCCTGCGATGCCAAAGGTTCAGTTGCTACACAGATCATTTCTTATCTTTCACTCTTTAAGTCTGGGGAATTGAAAGAAGGTGATGCCTCATTATTATTTGTTGTAGACGAGGAATTCAGTGGATTAGGGATGAGAACTGCAAGTGAATCACTAGATGCTACGTGGGAAATTGGTATATTTGGTGAACCAACCGACTTAAAATTGGGTGTTGGCCATAAGGGTATTTATACTTTTGATATTGATGTTGAAGGCAAAGCTTCCCACAGTGGATACCCCGAATTGGGTATATCTGCATCTGAAATATTGGTTCCCGTATTGGACAGATTGCTTGGAATGAAATTGCCAGAATCCAAATTATTGGGCCCATCAACTTTGAATATTGGCATGATTAATGCAGGCGTTGCTCAGAATGTATTGCCTGCAAAAGCTACTTCCAGTATTTCAATTAGGGTAGCGGAGAACCTATCAAAAGTACGTGAAATCGTGCTGCAAACTGTGGGAGAAGTTGAGCATTTAACCCTAAAGTCTGGTGTTCAAGTAGAAGCCCAATATTTGGACTATAAAGTCCCTGGCTTTGATTCAATCATTTTAGCATATTCCACTGATATACCAAACTTATCTGTTAAGTTCAAACACAGATATTTATACGGTCCTGGCCATATTCATGTTGCTCATGGTGAGAACGAATATATCGACAACTCAAACCTTATCCAAGCTGTCGAGGGTTATATGAAGTTAATTAAATATGCTTTACAGAATTAAGTACGTAGAAAAATATCATGTATACAATCTCTATATCCATTATAAGTAAGATTATTTATAACGGACTCAAACCATGTATTATCAATATAGCTAGATGTATTTTGATCAATCAATCATTTGAATTGGATTGATTAATTCGTAAAGTCTCCATTAAGAAAACTTCACATCCGCATAGAAACTATCAAATGAGAGATTTTGAATAAAAGTATGTTTATTTAGTGTTATACAACTATTTACTTGTTGTACATAATGACTTTTAGTATATATTAAAGAATATAACTACTGGCAGAATCTCATCTATTTATGTATTTTTTTTTTACACCAGGACACGCAATAGAGATGGCCCCAAAATTTTTTTTGCATAGGGTTATCAATAGGAACTTCAATAGGAACTACAAATAGAAGAAACAACTGAACATACATATAGTTAACTAAGATGAGTCAGAATATTCCAGCATGGAAGAAAATTGGATTAAAAATTAAGGAAGATGTACAAGATGATCCAATAGCTTTAACAAGTCATATAGAAGATGTCAACTTGACGAACAAACAAGCCAAAAAACTCAATAAGCAGAAAAGAAAATTAGAAGAATCCAAGAATGAAGATAAAAGGGCACCTAAGAGAGTCAAGTTACCTAAATCTGAAAGAGCCCCTCCTCCAGAAAAGGATCAATTGGCATATTTGCGTCAATACGAGAATGATAAATCGAATTGGAAATTCAGCAAACAGAAGCAAAATTGGATATTAAAGAACATTAAGAATATACCGAAAGATTACGAAAGTGCATTGCAGGCCTACCTTGAGGGTTTACAAGGAGGATCTCGGAAAAGGGTGGTGGATGATTTGATGGAGGTTATCAAGAAATGGAATAAAGCAGCAGAAGAAGCAGAAGCCAGAGTCGAGAGAGAAATACAAAGGCAACTTAACGGAGAAGCTGCCAGTGATGAAGATGACAAGAACGAAGAGGAAGAAGATACCGAGGGTAATAAAAAGGCGAAACGCACAGCATCGGAGCAAGAAGAGGCGGTTCCAGATTATGATTATGCGAAGAGATGTGGTGTACTTGTTAAAATTCTTAATGACCAAGATGTAGATTTGAAGGGTATCGAGATAGCTGATGCTGATATTAGAATTGGTGAAAAATATGAAGAAAACGAACCGTCAGTTGAAGCAGCAGAAGAAAATACACAACCCGAAGAAGAAGAAAAAAAAGAAAATGTCGAAGAAGAGAGCCAAGAAGATGCCAATACACAAGATAACCTTATTATTGATGAAGTAGAAGTCGCAGGGTTGTCTAAAAGCGATAGTCACATCGACCGTACAAAACTTAACAGTGAAAAATTCAATGATATCCCAAAAGACGAAATTTCATCTGAAGAATATAAGTCAGAGCAAGAGTCACAAACAAACCATGAGACCAAAGAAAAGTCTAAAAAGAAAAATAAGGATAAAACCAAGGATCTGTCTGACGTTAAGGTGAAAAAGAGCAAAAAGGATAAGAAAGAGAAGAAAAAGGATAAGAAGAAGAAGAGCAAGGATTGAGGATACCCCTCAATCAAATATTAGGACAATAAATACTAGCTCTTAGTCGGTTAATGATCTAATGAATCATATAGATGCATATATAATTTAATTTACTTCATACGTAAAAAAAAGTAATCCCAGTATCTCACAAACAGAGCGCGAAGATTGTGGGAAAGTGAAAGTGTTGATAAAATCAATGCTATATTTGATCCCTATTCAATTACTAAAAGAGATTAATATAAGAATTAACAATGCCTGAAATAAACTTCAACTCTTTGAAGGATAAAGCACTTGATGTGGACCCTGATTTGAGATTTATGGCATTAGAAGACTTTAAGAAATATCTAAATGAACCTACAACGGCAGCTTCAACTAAAAGTATTGAGAGCTTCATACCATTATTGTTCAGATTACTAAAGGATACTAATGCTAATGTTCAGAGTCAAGCTGTGAAATCATTTGCCCCGGTCATAAGATTTATATCTTCAGAAAGCATTCTTAAATTATTGAATCAGTTATATGAAGAAATATTAAAAGAAAATACAGCAGGCCATAAAGACTATAAGAAAATTACTACATCAATCCCAAATATGACATTGAGATCAATTTTTAATTCAAATTCGAAGTTTTCTAATAGACTTTCAAGAGATATTGTGGATTCATTCGTTCCAAAATTGATTGACAACACAATCACGATAGATTCTATTGAACTCTTAATTGATTTGATAAAGAACCTAGGGTTTGTCTTAACAAATGAAGAAATCGCCAACCTTTTGCATACTACAATGACTATAGCATTCGAAGAAGAAAACATTATTGGTAAAAGATCTGTTATTGCATTTGATCTTTTATTGAACTATCTTGATAGCAGTGAACCATCGTGCAATATTTTGAATGAGTTAATTAACCAAATATCTTTGAAATTTAACTCATTGGCTATAAGTTTACATTCGATCAACTTGAGATTATCTTTATTTTCAGTAATTTTGAAATCAATGAAAAGTTATGATGATTATGATGGCTCAATACTTTTTGGGACAACTATTAAGCATATTTTTCAAGTTGCTGTTACTTATATGAAGATGGACGATTTGGATACAGAGTTGGATGTTGAGGATTATGACTTTGATTTAATGATTCAAGAAAACTTGATTAGGGAGAATGCTTTGAATACTATAAACGATCTTGTCAATGCCTTACCACTCGAGTTATTTGAAGGTTATTTGAATGATACTATTAAATTGATTCAAACATTTATTGGCTATGATCCTCTCAATTTCGAGAATGATAACGATGAAATAGATTTAGACGAAGATTCAGAAATTGAATTTTCGGACGATGAGGATGATATCAACAATAACGATGATTACGAAAATGATTGCTCGTGGAAATTAAGAAATAAATCTGCTATTTTGACTAGAACCATTACAAGTAGGTATCCAACTACCTTGCCATTAATTTACTCGGAATTAATTCCCTGCATGACTGATGCAATGAACGACAGGAATGACATCGTTTCAAACGATAGTATTAAAACCTTAATTACAATAATTAATTGCACATCTGTTGACAATGAAATTACTTCCAGTTCTAGAAAACTAGGAAGAAGTGGTTCTGATGTTAGTATGACTATCGAAAGCAGTCCAATATACCAGCTCTTTACAGGCGTGACGCCTATTTTGGAGAATAAGATTTTCAACAATTTGCTTGTGAGCAAAAAGATTAATAGATTTCCAATATTTCTAAAATTAATTGAAACTTTGATAACTGTGAATTACCAACTATCGACGGATTTTTTGAATGAAATCTTTAATGCAATCAAGACATTAAATTTGAATACTAGCGGAAATATGGAATATTTAAGTTTGTACAAAACAATCTTTCTTAACAATGAAATAGGTGAAGTTTCAAATGATTTTGTTAATTATATTTTGTCAGACTTATCTAAGTCAATTGATAATAAGACATCGTATCACAATATTATTATGGAAAGTCTTAATATATCGATAATTATATTTCAAAATTTTAAAAGAATTGATAAATTGAATGCTTTTGAATCACAAATCCACAAATTATTCAATTCGATTATTAAGATATGCCACGATAAACAGTATTCGAGTGAATTAAGACAGAAGTCAATTTCTGCTCTATCAGAATTGAATGCCAATATTGAAATAAGTGAAGATAGTTTCATCAAAACGACTAATATTTTGAAAGAAAGTTTGAATTATGAAGTCACAGTTAAAGTAACTATTGAGAGCTTGGTTAATATTTTCAATAAGAAGTGTAAGAATTTTTGGAGATATTTGAAAGAGGCTGATTTCGTTAATTTCTTGATTGCAAAATTAATTGCATTCATTTCATCAACTGATGATTCGCTTTATTATATATCATTGAAGCTATTGGATATAATCACCAAGATCCAACATATAGATAATTTGGAGGATGACCAAGCTAATAAGTTATTGTCACTTTTAGTAGGCTTTAGTGAATCTACCACAGATTATACTCAGCTTTATTTGCTATTTAACATTATGGGTAGAATTTTACCAAACTGCGACACTAACGACAAATTCCTCCAAGGTCTAATCAAAATAATGAATGAGAAACTTACTGATGTTGACGATTTTGATTTAACGAGTTTTGAATTCTTGATTCAACAATTGTCAAGAAAATTATGCAAAGAGAATTTGAGTGAAATTTTTATGACAAATCTTAATTTGAAATTATTTATCAGTGCCAAAACATTATCGATCATAGCCCTTGAAAATAATTTACAGGATAAGATAGACGAGGAAGAAGTCGAGTTGAATAATTACATTGATAATGACATTTCTATATCTAATGATAAACTATTATTTGATATTCAATTTTTAGGAAGTATTGGCTCACAGAAAGAATTAAGGTTGATTAAATTAGCCAGCTTCTTACGGTTATTGAAGAACCCGAATGAATCTATAAGATTGGCCTCATCAAGATCCATAGGATTGCTCATTATTAAGGACATAAACAAGGACTTGCCATTATTATTAGATAGCTATGAGAAAAATGAGGATGAGAGAGACTTAAATCTAATTTCGATGAAGCAGTTACTCAAGAATGATGATTTAAATAACTCTGTCCTATTAGAGATTTGGGATAGAATATGGGATACTATCAGTCGGTATAATGAAAAGATCATTAGTAGTACTTCGGAGTTAAGATTATCTGGGGATGTATTATCTAGAATGTGCTTGTTAAATAATAACTACATAAGCAAACTAATTGATAAGGTTGATTCGGTTTCCAACGAATCAACCATTTATACAATTATTGTTATTTTGAAGCAATTAATGCATAAGCTTGAAAACAATAATGATATATTATCTACATTGCTCCTCCACAATTTGAAATTCTTAACGCTCTCCAATATTGAAATCAAGCAAGCACTCATTGGGACATTGCTCACCGGCTTGCATAATAAACCCGAACTTTTGTTGCCCAACTTACCTAATAGGGTGTTACCGTTGGTTTATGACGAATTGAGTGCCAAAGATGAATTTAAAAAAATTATCCCCATGGGGCCTTACAAGTATGTAATCGATGAGGGGTTGGAAATAAGAAAATTATGCTACGAGCTATTGTATACTATAATATTGTTCGAAGATTCTCTCCTCAAAGCAAACAATATCAATATTTACGACATTGGGGTCAACATAGTAAATAAGGGCTTAACTGATTCTGAGACTGACATTGTCATATTGTCTTCGATAAACTTGGTCAATTTGGTAAACAAAGATTTCCATTTTTTGATTTACAATAACGAATTGCTTCCAAAGTTGATTGATGTACTCAAACTCAATTTGAATAAAAAGTTGAAGTCCAAAGCTAGCACCCAGGAGACAGAGAACTTTGAAGAGAGTCTACGCTCCGTAGTCAAATTGTCTAAGGTAATTAACAACTCACTAGTTATCAATAACTACAACAATAATGACTGGAACTTGTTCTACGCGGAGATGAAGACAAACTTTATTCTTACCTTTAACTCCGTAGACATTTGATTCAAGCGAGCCAATCTGTACATGACTGTTTCGAAAAGAACAATTTGTTGATGCAATGAACGCTCATAATTCGTGGACTTGTTTACAATTATTGGTCGGATATATGTACGAGAACAATCAAGGCTAGGAGGGGAGTCTAGAATCAAGTCATGATTTTTGTTCGCATATCCATTTTAAGTCACAGATACGTTTCAATGGGGTTAAAAAATTTCTCATATGACAAGTGTTACAAATTTGACTATGAACGACTTTTCAAGTCATGAATTTTGCAACATCAATCCATATAAATAGAAATGAATTCTTCCTTGAAATACATCTTGTAAATCGTGTATATGCTTATATATTAGATTATATTTACACTAGTATAACAAGAAAAGTACCAATTTTTTGAGTTTTATGACTTTAAGTCTATCATTGGAAGGAATTGCGTTTTAAAATATAAATATAAAAATGCAAGAAAGTTTAGAAGGAAATACATCTGTCACATCTACTGTCGTTGATTCTACAAATAGTATTATCGACCAGGGATATTTGTTGCTTGATACATTTCTATATTATGTATTCAATGCGGTTGTGTTGCTATTAAATTTGACGGATGTAGTGAACGAATTTACAGAGAAAGTCTCGTTTAACTACCAGATAGTCTACACATCTTTTAAACATAAAATGTATAATAACATAAATTAGGACGGGGATATACAGTTAGAGAAAAAATCACCCCTTGTATAGTAGTAATGATTAATGCTTATAATATTTATTGTCGCGAATTAGGCCTAGGCTTGGTAGATAGCTGCAACGGAGTAGGAATTTGAACAAGGCCACAGGTTGTAACTACGACCTGAAATTATGTAGCAAATAAGTCCTATTGTAGAGTTGTACCACCATGTGGTATTGATACCGAAGATTAGCAGCCAACTCAGTGGCTGATGTGAAAAGTCCGGTGCCAACGGTTTGAAACGCATGCTACAGTACGATCTAGATTAGATTAATGATGAGCACCGTCTATTTAGGTACATAATTTGTGCTTTCAATATCGGGC